CAGGCCGGGTAAGGACGGCACGCGGGAGGGCCCAGCCGGCGCCCGGGGCTCCAGGACGCATGCGCGCCGGCCGCGGGGGGCGGGGCCGGGGCCTGGGCCGGGGAGGTCCAGCGGCCCCTTCGCGACACAAGGCTTCGCGTTCTGGCTGGGACGCGGCTCCAGGTGAGCGCGGAGTTGCAGTTTCTACGCCCAGAGCCGTGGAGGAAATCCTAAAGGGAAAAGCAGTATATTTCACTCCGTGAGAATGCAAATCCGTGCATGCCCAAAGTGGCGATAGCGTTAAAAGCTAAGGAACAATCCAGAGGTGTGTGTTTCGTGAACGTCATGACTAAGGGAATCACGTTTCTTGTTTGTAAAGAGCTTACTAAAATGGACAAGCAACGGGCCCAGGGCTTGAGGGCGGAACCCACGGGTCAGGCAGTGTGGAGAACGGGGGGTCTGTGCCCGAGACCTTGTCACTTCGCCTCCAGGACGCGCGCTGATGTTCCCCGCAGCACCGTGACGACTCCAGCGGCCGCCAGAAATAATGTTGGAAGCAAAAGTGAGGTCATGGAAAATGCTCCTGAGGTTCACGGGGAAAAAGAATTCCACGTATCCTCCAGTTCCAATTACGTTAAGCAATTCTCCTTTTAAAAAGAATGAAAGCACACCACCAAAATGTTCACAGTGACTAGATCTAGATTTTGGAATTACGGTAATTTTAAAATATCCTCTTTTATATTTTTTTCTGAGTGTCCGTGGTTGCACAGTGAACATAAGTCTTAAGAGCATTAAGAGAGCCCCATGAAATATGATTTTCAGAAGATGACATGAGTTTGTTCTTTAAATATCTTTTCATTTTTAGGTTTTTTGTTGTTTTTTTGTTTTTTTTTTTTATCAGCAAATAAAACCACAAAACGTTTGGGATGTAGGAAAAGGGACAAAACAAGCCAGCAAATGAATCCACTCTCCCAGCACTCTGGCCACCAGTTAATTTTTGCTAATTTTGTTACATTATTTTCTTCGAATTTTCAGGTGAAAATGGTAACACACATACAATTTCATATCCTTCTCCCTGCCTATTAATGAGTAATAAAACCTTATATTACAAATATGTCCCAAAGAAGGGAGTGGTTCTTTCATTGTTACATACATAAAATAGGTTTTTTGAACATAAACCTCATCAGCTGAAAGAAAATGAAATAAACTATATTTTTTGCCATGGGGAAAAGAATACGTGATGAGGAAGAGACAGATTACAGGATAAGATCTGTGGACATAAAGTCGTATGCAGAACGGTATGAATCTTAATTTCAAACTTTTAAATAATTTTATACAGCTTTGAAAGATTATATGTGCTACAGAAACAACACAATTTGATTCAAACTATTGTTTGGGGGGGAAAAAAAAGAAAAAAAACAACTTTGGAGAGATCTTCCCCCACTGTGTTCCATGGTTATGTTCCTAAAATACTGTCTTGAACCCAGACTGTTTTAACGTTAAAGCGTCAGAGATTGGTTATGTCGTCTTAGATTTCCTTTTCTTTTTTTTTTTAATGTTGATTTATTTTTGAGAGAGAGAGAGAGGGAGACAGAGAATCCCAAGCAGGCTCCGATGCGGGGCTTGAACCCACGAATTGTGAGATCCTGACCTGAGCCAAAATTAAGAGTCAAACACCTACCCCACTGAGCCACCCAGGCACCCCTGTTATCTTGCATTTTCAGTACTTGTTCACAAGTAGCTTCATTTTCAAACAAGGACAAGACTTTTAAAACATGGCCTCAAAGGTAGAAAAAGGCAATTTTCAAGTACAAATATAATTTACTTCAAAATTCTTCTTTTTAATAAGGATTATCTTCAGCTGATTTTTAAAAATCTTTTAAAATGTTTATTTATTTTTGTGAGAGAGACAGAGAGTGAGCTGGGGAGGAGCAGAGAGAGAGGGAGACACAGAATCCGAAGCGGGCTCCAGGCTCTGAGTTGTCAGCACAGAACCTGACACAGGGCTGGAACCCAGGAACCATGAGATCATGACCTGAGCCAAAGTCGGATGCTTAACTGACTGAGCCACCCAGGTGTCCCTCAAAATTCTTAAATAAGTTTCAAATTTGGTGTCCTTTTCAATACCTGAACCCATTAAAAAGTAGGTAGAAATACTCTGAATTAATATTTCTCCCTGTTATGTTTTTGAGTTTTTTAGAAAACGTGATATTTGTTTGGGTAGCTCTTAGGAACTGAAATTTCTCCATTTAATTGAATGGAATAAGAATTCATCAATTTGTTTAGGTATAATGAAAACTAAAAAGGTTTTCAAAGGTATAGAACTTTCTTGCCCTGATTATATTAATTCTAATGGCTTCAAAACACTATTATTAAATATTTAATTTATAACAAGAGTATCAAAGGGATAGTATAATCAACTCCTGGGAATCCACCGTATTAACAAGTAAAACACACTTCAAAAAATTGTAATGTTTCACGTATTCTTGTTCAGGTTCAAATGGAACCAAGTCAATATAAGTAAAGAGAAAAACGAAATTCATCCAAGTTCATTGAAAAGTATTCGCTTACTGGTATTGATTTTTTTTTTAATTTTACCTATATCTGCAGCAAAATATTCGCCAGCCTGCAAAACTAAGCAAAATGAACCTGAACGTGCAGATTTACAGTTGTTAACCTGGAAACACATCATTTTGTTAGGACAAAAAAAAAAAAAAAAAAGCGAGATAAAAACAAAATGTGTCATTTGTTCCCAAGGCAGTAAAAAACAAAAAAAACCAAAAAAACTTCAGGCCTCTCGGCCAGTTTCAATATATGTTTCAAAATCTGCAGGGGTGGGGCGCCTGGGTGGCTCAGTCGGTTAAGCGTCCGACTTCAGCTCAGGTCACGATCTCGTGGTCCATGAGTTCGAGCCCCGTGTCGGGCTCTGGGCTGATGGCTCAGAGCCTGGAGCCTGCTTCCGATTCTGTGTCTCCCTCTCTCTCTGCCCCTCCCCCGTTCATGCTCTGTCTCTCTCTGTCTCAAAAATAAATAAACGTTAAAAAAAAAAAAAATCTGCAGGGGTGCCTGGGTGGCTCAGTCGGTTAAGCGTCAGAATCTTGATTTCGGCTCAGGTCACGGTCTCGTGGTTTGTGGGTTTGAGCCCCGTGTTGGGCTTTGTGCACTAACAGTGCTGACACGGCAGAGCTCATTTCTAGCTAATGGGTTGACGAGATGATGAGTAATCTTTATCTTCTCCTTGATGTGTTTCTGTGTTTGATTTTTCTTTTCATCGTGGGGCAAATGTGCCTTGTGTAATCAGAAGAAAAAAAAA